AAGATTTACAAGAAACTAAACAAAATCATGTTAGTAATAAAAACCCCACAGGCCTTAAATGTGGCAGAAAAATCAGTTAACTGGACGAAATCGATGCGGGACTATAAGAATATAGGAAAACATTCATCCATCCCAAACTTACACAGACGTGCACACATTCAGACACAACAACAAATACGAAAAACATACACGCGAAAAGAAGGTCGCCCCGCATCCACTAGAGAATTGAGATCACTGACCACCTAACGAGGGAGGGTATGGAGAGTTAAACTAAAGGAAAAAGTGGGGCAGAAATAAAAGGGGCCAATGAGCAAACACAGCCTAGCTAAGTTAACTGGAAAAGAAAAGAAAAAACTAAAGAATCAAAAACTTAGATCTATCCTAAATTCAGGGATGGGTTGCCCAAGTTCAAACCGAGAAAACAATATTCTGATGCCTGACCGGCATCAAAATGCCACTCCAGGTTAGCCCATTTTACTCTGCACATACGCGCAAGATTCACCCACCTTTTGCCAAATTCTGATGAGGTGAGACGCCGCCTTTCCGTCCTAATCTTGACTTTATGCTGATGCTTAAAGTACAAGATCAGTTGGGAAGAAGTGAACCTCTCGCCCTCATAGAATCCCTTCTGACGCGTCGTCCAAATCACGACTCTCATAACACCTAGTAAGAAAAAGAACACATAGTGTTCAACCTTCGTCATCTGCGGCACCACATTGCTACAAACAGAGGTGGTCTCAAGGACAAAAAGTTTTCCCTGCAGCATGCGAACCATGAGGCCTTCAACAAACTTGCACAAAGGCACTACCATCTTGAAATGAAAGAAGGCGTGACCAATGATCTCGACTTCCCCAGTACAGCGACGGCAGTTTGGATATTTCTCCAAGCCTGCTGAACAAAGTCTTTTGGCGACCTAGAGGGCCCCACGAATCACCAGCCAGGTGAGTGATGCCCCATCATTATTGAGGCATTTCAACCAAGGCGCCCAAGGTCATATCGAGCGAGACTCCTGCTTCGTAAGACCGAGCTCGTCAATCAGATCATCCTGAACGCCCCCCGCCGACTAACACATGATACAATGCCCTACGAGACAACAACTGGACGTTGGAGAGACCATCCGACGCCCGTAAGAGGTGTTTCAGAGCACGACGACATTCGCGGTAGAAGGAGCATTCGGCCCGGGGTGTACGGCCGGCCTCCTCCCGGCACGAGTGCACACTTCTCAGGGATGGGAAATGTTTACGGACATCTTTCTTCCAGAAGGCGCCATCCTCATCCGATCCGCGACACATTCGGTCTAGAAAATTGATGCGAAGCATATATTGACGAATCTCAATGCTAGGCATACCTAGACCGCCCTCAGAGGGATGAAGGCAACAGATCTCGCAAGATACCATAGGGGCCTTGTCTCTCCACAAGAAAGAGAACAAGAGCCTTACTAATAATATTAGTCTGGCATACGGAAGTGGAAGTACAGAGAGTCGGTAAAGGAGAATCGGGTAGGTGTGTGAAACACATACTTCCGCCCTCCCCTTCAAGGAAAGCCTCCTCCGAGACCACAGATTAACCGCGATCTCGGCCTTCCCTGGTACCTCTGACCAATTCATTTCCAACTGGAGATCAGGACCGAACCAGACGCCGAGTATCTTGATCGGCCCATCCGTTCAGAGGAAAGGTTCAGGAATAGAAACTCCCTTCCACGCACCCAACCGCAAGCCAACAGACTTATCGCGGTTGATCTTAGCCCCTGTCATCATCTCATACCCACTGATCTCTTTGCTGACTTCGTCAATCTCGGCTCTGCTCGACACAAGAACCAAAACGTCGTCAGCATAGGCAGAATACCTGGCTGAGGTGGTAGCTCCAGGCAGGGAAATTCCGCGCAGGACCGGATTCGCCTCTAACTTGCGAAGGAATGGTTCCAACGCAAGAACGTAAAGCAAAGGCGAAAACGGACAACCTTGACGAATGGAGCGAGACAAAAGGAAAGGCTTCGATCTTACCCCATTCACCTCCACCAGCGCACCAGAGGTTGCATACAAAAGTCGGATCCAGGAGCGAAAGTCAGCTCCGAAACCGGCCGCCGAAAGGACAGCCTCCAGAAAACGATGGTCAACCCTATCGAAGGCCTTGGACTGATCTAAATTGATCAGCGCGGCTTCACTGTCGACTTGTTCTAAGATCAAGCGTACCATATGAAGATTATCCTGACTGTTCGAAGCCAATCAGACTAGACAGGACAAGCCCATCCCCACCGTCCTTGTCCTTACGCAGCAACTTGATCACACCCCTGAGGTATAGACCCCTGCTTCATCCAATGGTTGAAAATCAGTTCCAGCAAAGGAACAAAAACGGGCGACTGCTTCAAGTAAACTTCGTAGGGAAGACCATCTAGTCCCGGAGATTTATCCGGGCTAAGCTGCTTCAGCGCTTCCCAGATTTCCGACTCTGTGATGGGACGCTCGCACCCAGCCGCTTCAGCTGCCTCGAGGCAGGGAAAGTCGGCTAAATAGGCGTCGAACTGAGCACAGCTCAGACCGGGCTCCCTGGTGAAAAGATCCTGAAAGTAATCCGTAAAGGCCTCGCATATGCCCGCGTTTGTAGTCACGTTCCGCTTATCCGGCAATATGACGCACGCGATATGTCGCCTAGACGCGTTCCGATTTTCCTCTGCACGCAATTCAGCGGGCATATTCGTCGCCTCAGAAGACATTCTTTTTAACCTAGTCCTAACTACCAGAGCTTGATCCTTCTTGATATGCAAGGATGACAGCACTGCTTTAGCTAAGGCTATTTCCCACTATCACGGGATTTCACAGCCAGATCAACTTTATGTTCTAAAGCCGTTTGCGCCGCTAATCTATCTAGATTGAGTCGACGACTAAAATCGGCAGCAAACGTTCTAATTTTGGATTTTTTTATTTATCCAACCAGGCGTTCCCAACAACCGCCCCCGTCAATTCCCTCTGTATCATTAGTAGCAGCTGGTCCCGGAAATCCTGCTCACCAAATAATGAACAGTTAAATTTCCAGTAACCAGCCAACCTAACCTTAGGCTTATCTAAGTTTACGCGGACCCGGACAAGTCTATGATCCGAATAAACTATATAATGGAAGCTTGGACACCCTAAGAGCCCTACATCGACTCTCCTAACTAAGACTCGGTCGAGGTAGCTAGCAAGCGTCCCAGGAGCCGAGTTGCCTCTATTTGTTCAAGTCCATGCTACCTCCCGGTACTTACCGACATGATCAAACTCATCGATAAAGCCCCGAAATGATTTCACGTCCCGGTTGTTAGTACCCAGATTTTGCCCTATGCGATCTATATCGGGGTCAAGGACGGCATTCCAATCCCCGGCTAAAACTACCCGACGAGATGTCGTCAAGAACGGCCCGAAACAAAGCAGTCTGCTCAGAATGGCTATTGGACGCATAAACCCCAATGAGACGTAGAGCCTTATCCTTTATAGTAACATCCAGCACGCAAAGCCTACTCGCCGGATCTGCGAAGACAAGAGTACATACAGCCTTCAAAGACTTGCTCACTAGCCAAGAGACACCCCTCGAACGACCATCAAAACATGCCGAATAAAGGGAGAACCCCTTAGACAGCATGTCCTCACAGTCATGAGAAGAAAACTGGCACTCTTGTACACAACAAACATTCATCCCGGGAAAACTCAGTGTCTGAGTAACTTGAATTAAGTCGAGCAATACTTTTTATAGATTTTCGAGTTTCCAAATAGGCTCCAAAGACCTGCGCGGGAAAAAGGTTTGTCTCAACTTTGCTACATTTTAGTGTCCTTTTAACCAATGGGGGATTGAGTTTGGAAAAGTAAAGTGATGATTGGTTAAAGGTTTATTTGGGGAAGAGTGCATCATCCTGTAGTGGGTGACAGGCAAATGTGGAGGATTCCATAAGATTTTTAATGGTTATCTTTGAAAAAAATCAATGAAATTGGTCGGAACAACTAATAAGACTTGATTGAAATGGAATTTTTATTTTTATTTTTAAGAGAATTTAAGATTTAAATATAATTTTAAAAAAATCATATTTAAATCTGCTGAGTACAACATATTTTTAAGTACATTTTCCAATTCAAAGAAAATTCATTTTGTAAACTAAAGTGTAAACTATATGTGACTAATTTTTTTTATTATTTCAAATAAGTAACTAATCGTTCTTAAAGAATTATCAATTATTGCCAATTAAAATTCAGGCGGTATTTTCGTAAGGTTTGTTATCTAGAAAACTTTCAAACTGCATCAGAGAGTTTATTTTGCATGATTTTGATAAAACTACAAGTTGACAACAAACTTGTTTTCAGCCTCTCACTAATCCTGTTTTAAAATATTTTAAATAACAAGGAAGGGAAAAGAAGCCCACGAGGTCGTAGGTAGTAGTTTTGCTTAGGTTGGTAAAAAAGAAAACTAAAGTAAATTTTGTTAAATAAGTAAATGTTAAAATAAAAAAGGAAAATTATGCGATAATGCATGGCTTATTTTCGTACATTTTCCGTATTCTACTTTCTCTCCAGTTGTCTTTTACTTCTACCATTTCAAACATTTTTCTCAATTTGTTTCAACAGAATTATTTATTATCAGGGATTTCAAAGATAAATTCTGCATTAATCATTTTTGTTAGCTAACGTTTAATTTCGTTTTTCGCTAATGCCGTTTTCATTTTTTAAGATACCTGTCTCGTTTTGGTTATTCTACTTGTGACGTCACGAGTACTTGCTGTTGCAGATGGCGGGAAGTTGGAGTGTGTGCTGAAACCTCAGCAACAAACACGATTAGCGATTTTTTTTTTTTTTTAATTGTTGTAGATTAATTTTTTAGAAAAACTGAGGAACAGACAAGTAAACCATGCCTTTTCCACGTGCATCGAAGCAAAAGAACAAGTTAAAAAAAATGCAACGAGTACAAACACCGAGGAATATCCAGACAGCTGTCTGTTCTGTGAAGTAAGCGATGACGATGAAGAGATTTTTGGACGTATGGTTCGTAAATGTGGAATTACAGTTCATTACTTTTGTATGCTTTTTTCAAGTGGCCTTTCACAAAGAGGAAAAACTGAGGAAGATGGCATATATGGGTTTCTACCGAGTGACATCGGCAAAGAGAAAACTCGTGGAGCTCGGCTGAAATGCACTTTTTGCCGTAAAAATGGAGCCACGATTGGATGCGTGGTCAAGAATTGCCGGTGAGTTTGCTTACTGAAACATCCATTACCTTCATTTGTAATATTTATGCACATATTTATATGGTTGCATCTCCCAGGCTAAAGGTAATCAGAGACTGTGACAATTGAAATGTTGTGTTAGAAAAGTAAATAATGGGGACAGCCAATTTCAATCTGTCTTGTAACGTTGTTTATATGAGTTTTTAAATGATTGCAAGAAAATCCGATACTGGGATACTTTATACAAATTAAATATGCAGAATCTGTCTTTATTATAAATTGCAAACTATTAATGCACATTTTAAAAATATCATAAGCGTACAAGTGATTTTTTTTTTTTTTTTTTTTTTGCATAGACAAAAATGAATTTATTTTGAAATAGACAACCTATGTTGATTTATTTTAAATTATATAACGAACATAAGGTAGGGTTTTTATAATTGTCATGGGATTCATTCGGATACATAATATTTAAATTTTACTGATATTTAAAATGTGTATTACTGTTTTAGTCATTCATTTGTGTCGCTTTCAATTTTGTACTGGACTTATTTATTTTGATTTTGATTTCCTTAATTTAAAAAATCATTGCACTATTTATTATTCTCAAAGATTTCATTTTAGTTTTTACTGTAAAAATGAAAGTTTGGAAAAGTACTAGTTTAAGATAACTTTTGTTTTTGTAGCTTTTTTTATATTTTGGTGGGGATTAAAAGTTAAATCTTTACTTTCTGATTGATCATTTTTAAATCCAATAGAGGAATACTTTTAAAACTTATTTTTAAAAGTCTGTTAAATTCCTTTTTTAATCCACCTTTCTTTTAAGTTTCAAATAATACTAGAACTTTAGTAAAAGCCTAGATAGTTGATCTAATTCTACTAATTTAACCTAAAATGCAGGGAAGAAACTATTGTTTTTATTCTTTACAAATCCATTTGCCTGCTTGATGTAACGGTCGGGTTGGTCAACGCTTGTTTTGAATTAAGTGTTTCTTTTTCGCTGTCATTTCATCCCATTTCTACTTTTCTTTGCACCAACCATAAGTGTTGGCGCCAAAATACTTTACTCCCCCCCCTATTATTTTTTTTATAAATCTGTTGTAAATTGCCAATTGTTCCACTTTACAAATCAATAAATTAACATTGCTTATTCTTTAGTCTTTCCTCAAGTCTTTATCATCATTAAAGAAAGGGAAAGTTGTTATATACGCCACTTGGATTTTTAATAACATTTTCATTGTTTTTTTTATTCACTACTCAGTGTTTAAAAAAAAGCCAGTTATTTCTATTTTTATCAAAAATATGGTTTATGGTTAGCAGATCTGTTATGGATTTGTTCTTTATTGATCTTAAAATGTAAACTGTTAAATTTGCATTACTCGATCTGTAAATTTTATACCGGTGCTTTAAAAAACGTAATTTTTCTTCGGAAATATGACCCTTTTCGAGGTCAAGAGGAAATTAACGTCAGTGTGTTATAAGAACTGCTTTTATTGTTTTGTTGGGCGTGGGGGATTATTATTTATTAAAAAATAGCCTGAAAGTTTTCGATTGTGCTAAAACGTCACCCAATTTAACCTGGTCGGAAGGAAGTTCTAAGCAAAGAAAAATAAAATGCCACGCCATAGCATAGAAGGAAAATTCACAACTTTTTCGGGAGCTTTTTTTTGATAGGTAAAAATACCCATATTTCCGAAACAAAATCATTTGTCCGGAATTATATTGAGAATTTAAAAAAAAATTCCACTTAGTTTTAAAACCTGTAAAAACGTTTTACTGCATGTGTGCCTCTTCGTGCACTTGTGAATAAGGAAATTTGCTTTTTATACTTTAAAAATTTAAAATTAAAAACAATAAACAACGTACATTCATTTTTTTTAAAAAAATCATACTTCGAAGCAAAAAATTTACATGAATTTATATTAAGATTTCTCTTGGTGATCTAGAAATCTTTGTAGGAAAATATATTTTCCTTATGTGAGTTTGATCTGCTTTATTCGAATATGACCTTCCTTTCTGGAAATTTTGCATATTTGAGAAATAAGTGGCTCAAATATGGCTGCGAAATTGTTTGTCTGCAGCGTATTAAAAAAAAATAAACAAAAAAACTGAACTTCTATTATTTATTATTTTTCCGTTAGTAGTGAAAAATTCAATGAATTTTGGTATCTATGCTAAATTTCGTTATTTTGTTTCTTAAAAATAAAAATGGTTTATCACCGTTGCTCTTCGAACTTGTTTTGGTGCCAGCAAAAATGAAAGTTGATGCAAAAGCTGTTCTTGCTCAATCAAATTGCATATTGGCGTGGAACGAATTGGTCTCTTAGCTAGAGTTTCGCTTGTCAACGAAGAACGAAATAGTCTCTCTCTACTTACTAAATCAAGTAAGCTTTGGTCAAGAATTAAAAATCCATATCACAAAAAGTACTTTTACTTTGATAAAGTTTTATCAAAGTAAATGTTCTGCAAGACTTTGCCTGAAAAAGATGTCATCATTTTCTCGAAATGGTTCTAGGATGCTTAGGCTTGTTATGGAAAAATTTCTCAAATTTAGAATAAATATCAGTTTTATGTCAGTTGAAATTTACAAGTTCGATAGTCTGCTCTAGGTTTGGCTCCGCAAACAACCTTTTCAATGGAAAAGCAGAAATGTTGTGTAGTACAGTGTACTCAATCCAGAAAACTTTGTGTGTGAAAATATATCGGAGAATTCTTTTCTTTTCTTTTTTCTTTTTTTTGCTATATTTGAAGTTCCCCTGGCGCTGGGAGGAGTGTTACTGTGAAGTATCCTTACTTGTATGTTATTTATCTCTTGTCTACAAATATCACTTGTGAAATGATAATGGGATCTTTCTTGTTAATTCATAGATCCTGTTTTCTTTGATCATAAAATCAACAGAATTTGTGTTATGTATTGTTAGTTAATCTCTTTGTAAATGTTAAACTTTTCTTTTTTAATATTCCTTTTATCGCTTTTTCAGATCAAAACTTAATTTATAAAAATGCTGAAAACTTGATTTGTGCATTTGGTGTACCATGTCAACAAAAAATTGTTAGTCATTAACATTTGTTGCATATTTTCATATTATTTTATGTTATCTTAGCATTAATTCATGAAACTTTTTAAAATTATTTTCATTGTCACTTTTTCATATAAAAATCTATTTGTTGTATAATAAAAATGTAAACAAAACCAAAAATTAAAATAAGTGTTTACTTTCCACCAAATTGGTCAACATTTGACCACAAATAACACAGATTCTGTTGATTTTATGATCATAGTTCTTGTTATTACTATTATTATTCACATAAGTGAATAATAATAGTAATAACAAGACAAAATAGGTATGTTCTGTTGAGACTATTGCATTAATACTAGTTCAGTAGTAAAGCTATTCTATATGATTTCCTTATCAGAATTGTTACTTTAACTGAAGAAAGGTTTAACTAAAAACTGCATTTATGATATCCATATGTGGAAAGAAATATAAGGTAGGAGACTGTTAAAGTCAGGCTTGAGGAACTTGTAAAAAGAGGTACACATTACTTTCCTTGGGGTTAAGTTGAGATAATTGATAGGGACCCTCTGCTGGACAATAACAAAGTAGCATATATCATCTTGTTAATCAGTTGCATACTTATTTTATAGATTTGGGCTATGTTATGTAGTTTTATAGTTGAACCTAAACAGATATACACTTCTCCATTATATTAAAATAATAATTTTCAATAACCAAATAAAATAATTGTTTTTAAGGGAAAAAAATTATGCATGGCTGTGATGATTATTTCTGTAAATAAAATCCAAATATTTAAGTATCTAGAGGGATTTGAAAATCAATCAATGAGAATCAATGCTGATATTTTTTTGATATTTCTTCTTCTAGGAAGGTGTTCCATTTTGGGTGTGGTCAGAAAGCAGGTGCTCTCAACCAGTATTTTGATTCCTACAGATCGTTCTGTACTAGCCACCGTCCAAGGCAAACTTGCCCAGTTAGTGATCGTTTGTCATTTTATGGCACAGCTAACAGCATGTGTGTGATCTGCATGAGTGCAGTTGAGGCACGTGCTTCCAATGATACTTTGAGGGCACCCTGCTGTAAAAATACTTGGTTTCATCGTAAATGTATCCAACGACAGGCCTTAGCTGCTGGGCTTTATTTCTTTAAATGTCCTCTTTGTTGTAACAAAGAAATATTTCAGGTAAGAATTGCATTTATTTTATTTTTATTTTTTAGCACTTACATTATCCAGTTTATATATTTTGGTGTTAATTTAAAACATTTTACTCCAATGAAAATGTATTTAAAAATTTAATAGTTGAAGCAAAACATTATTCAATAATTTAAATATGAAACAATGACAATTATGATAATTGTCCATAAATTATAGATATCAGTCTGCAATTTGGGACATTTTTCAAACCCTGTCATCAATTCTCTAAATTTGGCATTTTCTCTAGGTTATTGCACTCTGAAAAGCTATTTTTATTTTAACATCTTTTTACATTGTCATTAAATAATAAAGGGGTTTATCTTTACTGCAATAATGTAATAAATTATGCAGTTAAAATTTGGCAGAACATTGAATGACATACAACTAGGAATCTTGCATTTTGTGTACATTTATTATTATTTATTTCAACCAGGAAACAATTTCTCCTTATATACTCAGATGACAGGGTAATAAGTTTTATTTTTTGCTAAAAGACCAGGTACATTTTCATTACAATCATGACTTGAAATATTTTATAATTTCATTGTTATGTAGAAAACTTTATAATATATGATGTATATTTTAATAGTGAGTTAAAATTAGGTCATTAATATGATAAATAGGTTAAAATTTTAACATAAGGAAAAAATATTGTGATCATAATGAATCACAATGTTTTATTTTTTTATGTTTGAATATAATGAACAGCTGGTTGAAAAGACTAATTCAGAAAATTATAAAACTGCTAGCTTTAATAAACTTCAGTGTTTCTCAATTGAGAGATGTTTTAATAATTAAATTTAAATGGAAAATATTTTTGAATAAAAGACTGATTGTAAAGAATAAGAATTTATATACATTTTCACTAATTTTACAAGTAATGCATTTACAAATGTCTTCTGAACCTCTTAAAATGACACCGTATATTGTCTTTTTCAGTATAATCATTTTTCTAATTTATTAAAAAAAGGAGTGAGATATTAACAGCAAAATATTTGTGCATTGCTTTGTTATATAATCTTTGAAAAGTGGATTCATTCTTTAAAAGTTTTTTTTTTTTTTTTTTTTTTTAGTCAAGTGAATTTTTGCTTTTCTTGCAATATTAATTTTACATTTGGATGATTTCAAAAATATCTCTGCTAACATTTACTTTGCTTCAGTTCTCTTGTTTTAAATATTACAAAATTGATTTACTTAAACAGAACTGTTATGACAGTTTCTCTTTGATTCCCTTTGCTTTATCCTTGAACCATTAAAAAATTAAACTATTTTCATATCTTAACCTAAAGGACACACTATTAAGTGTGTTCAAATCTATTGATAACATTAATCATTAATACCTAACAAAACAAATTGTTCAGTAAATTACTGGAGTTTAACACATTTAAAGGCACAGGATTAAGTAAAAAAAAAAAAAAGAAAGAAACGCTCAATTTGAAGAAAAAAATATTCCTACAATAGTAAAGTTTGAAAGATCCAACTTTGTTTTGCAAATACATCACTCATCAAGGTAAGGCAGAGCTTTTCTGTTCATAAATCTTGGCAAGTTGATTCTTTATATTAAAACTTCATAAGAATCTCACTTGTATAAATCATAATTAAAATAAAGAGGTATTTTCAAATCATTTAATATTTAATAATTTGATGGATTTGAACAGTTATTCTCACCTTGGTTGTTTGAGCCACATTTTAGCTTTCTTCAGTTGTCACATTTGAACTGCACTATTTATTCAATCCATAGTAAATTGTTTGCATTCTGCTGTCTATTATAAAGAATATCTAATTTCATTAAATTTTTTCTGTCTCTGCTAAACCTGGAATTAAACTCAACTATCTGGTAACTACATGAACTTAATCAGTGCTTAAACTATCCTGTCAGGTACTAAAAATTTTAGAAAGAATCTTATTCCTTTTTATCTTTGTCCATGTGATAAAAATGTTATTCTCCACATGATCAATCATACCTGATTTTATAGTCCTTTCATGGATTACTGCTTTTCAATGTTCCTCAAACCCAGAAGACAGCTAGTCTTGATATTGTGAACCAACTAAACAGGTAAGTTTTTGGCTGATGTATAGAACACTGCCCACTTTGTGCAAATTGGATTATTAGACAGTCTTTTTAAAAATAAGTTGAGCTAACTTGGAGAAAGAGTAAGCAATTAAAAATTTAGCACTGCATATCACTACTTTTAACTCAATCTGACAATCCTAGATGATAAATTTGGACATTCATCAGATTTTTCATCACTTATCACTGATGAACTTCTGATTCTACCATTAGGAAATGTGCCAATATGCTGATAGGCAACCTGATGTTGATATTTTTTTATGCAAATGGCATATACTATCAATTGGATTCTGACATGTTTACCCAGGCATAGCTATGTGATCACCATTATCTCCATCAATAGCAAACATGTGGAGTACTTCAAGGAAATAACTAAGAATGATGCCATTGAAGTAACATTGTAACTGAGATATATAAATGAAATCTAGTCAAACTTCAACTAGAAAGATGCACAAATACTGCTGGATCATATGAATTTAATCTGACCTTCGATACTGTCCACAATGAAAAATATATTGAATAATAAATGGGCTTTTCTTTTTTGTTCATTTACTAATAACATGTCTAAAGTAGTGGTTCAAGGTTTGCATATATTTTAAGCCAATATTCACTGAAAAGTTTCTAGGCTTTGATTCCCACCATCCATACAGAATAAAGAACAGGATTGTCCACTCAAAAACAAAACTAAAAGACAAAACAAAGAATCTGACCAACAAGAGATAGCAAGTGTAAGGAATGAAAATGCACAAGCATTATTGCATTCTGAGTTGAGTAGATTAATCTTTGTCAAAATAATAAAATAAAACAGATATTGAAAAACATAGTTTTTAATGAAGTTGGTAACTACAAATACCTTGACTCTTATATTTAATCTTCTGAAAAGGATTTGAATGTTAGAAAAGGCATTGCTTGAGCCACCTCAAATGACATGCATAACATCTGGATCTCTGAGTTGAGAAGGTACAAATAATTGAGTTGGTATTCCTGTTTGCCTTTAAAGCAATCCTGGGCAAAATGTTTTACTTCCTGAATGACATGCCTAATTACAAATAAAAATAATGTTTATTAAAAAGTTTGGTTTCTCTCATTTTTATTTGTTCACTCACTGAATGATGATTATGCTTCTTGAATTTTGTAATTTTTCATTGAAGGGAATGTTTTCATCAGTTTAAACCATTGGCAATTTTCACTAAGGAAGATCATACATGTAAACATCTTCAGCTTTACAAGCAGGAATGGTTATAATTTTTTTTCTCCGGTGAAGAACTGTTTACTTTTTCTTTTCTTTTTTAAATGAAACAAAACTTTTTTTATATTTTTTAACAAATAAATTAGAAACAAATTACATGCAGAAGTGCAATGCTAATCACTCTTTCATCTATGATTATGTGATGACCAAGACTTGAATGGGGTGGGGTCTTTTCCCCATTTCTGAGGCAGATGCTTACATATATGGTCTTCTGTAGTGAAGATGACTGAGGTACTTTCAACGAAAATCTTCATCTAAATTTTTTTTTTTTTTTTACTTGTGTGGACCACCATATGATGCGCCATATCATATATGACACACTGCTCAAAAAAATTTGTTCATGCCTGCTCTAAAACATGGAAAATTTTCTTGAGAGAAGTTTCTAAGACTCTTACATTGTACTGAGCATCTTACCTGCAGGCAACATTCTATTAAAAAAAAAGATATATACCAAATTATGTTTTGTCTCCTTCCAAGTGAAGGCTAAGAGCACAATTTGCAGACCACTGTCATAGGGCAGAGAATGAAATCATATTATCACTTGTATTCTGGAGACCTCATCTCCAGGATGCAAGAAACTAATCTTCCCTGATATCATCAGCAGGGCCACAGATTAGATGGAAAGAGCTGTTAAAAGCTAGGCATGATTTTGAATAACTGTGTGCTCTCTATGATCTTGACTAAGGTCAAAAGAGGATGATGAGTGTAAGGAACACCCTTCTGAGTCTCGATTACCCTACAAACAATACTGGCTTCCACAAATGAATCTGCAGGTTATATAACATTGAGGCAGTATTAAAAAAAAAAAAACAACTCTATCAGATAAGAACATTACCATGAATAGTGTATATACCATCCCACACAGTTGTAAGAAATATTAAAGTTAAAACCAGCTACCTACTACAAGAAAACTTGAAAAGCAACAAAATGTTATCTAGAGAGATGAATTTGGGCAATAGTAGAGTGTCGGTGGAATGAAAGGTAAAATAATAAAAAACAACATTTGGAAAATAAAGTCAGTTGAAAGTCTTGGCATGCACGTAGACTCTAATAATCTCATCGGTAGTCTTTGCATAGAATTGATAACTATATGAGAGCCTTTGATTAGCAAAGAAGAGATGTTTGGTTTGAATCTCCAAAAATTCTACCACCTGATTGACCTAGGGGATATAAACATTGATTAAGTTAATTGAAATGTAGTTATGTTCAATTTCTAGATTAGCAGTGAAATTTATATATTGTTACATTTGAGAGGGATGTGAGAACCGCATCACAAGGTAGTATCAACTGAAACAAGATCTTACAAGGACAGTAGAGTGTGAACAATCTGTCCCCACCCAGTTTAGTTAGGAATTCCTAGAAGGTTAATAAATGATACACTGCCAAAGGCGGCCATAGTTTGCAAGAACAAAATATTGTGACCATAACAACCAAGATGAGGATACCATTTCAATTAGCAAATCTATAGTACACAAAGTTAGTTATGCAGGTAAAAAATCTTTCTCTCTCATCCATGTTAAAAATAAATGTTATTTATGCTGCTTTAAACTTTTGCCTTGTGTGAAGAATGGGTTGTAGAGCTTTCATGACTTAGTGAAACTAAAATAAATAAATGTAATTTCATTTTATTTTTTCCAATTACAGGCAGAAATGTTACAAGTTGGAATTTACATTCCTGAACAAGATGCAGCTTGGGAAATGGAACCCCATGCCTACCAGGAACTTCTTGAACCATACAACCACTGTGACATGGACGCTTGTCTGTGTCCACGTGGACGTAAATACAACCGTGATGACAGTAAATGGGAGATTGTTGTATGCCACTGGTGTGGCTCTCAGGGCAGCCATATTGGCTGTTTTTCAAGAAAGAACACTCCCACTTCGAGTTCAGGTTCTCGGCGTGTTCGCTGGTCATGTCAGTCATGTGCCCTTATTGACGATGAATTAAGGAAAGAACGCAGGAAGAAGAAAGCTTCATGCTCACCTGTCAATCAGGATTCAGTTGAGCTGCCTTCTGGTAAATCTCTGACACAGAGTGAACATGTTGGCAGAAAGCTACCAGTGAAACGGTCCAATACTTTGCAGTCTTCATCAGTGTCCACTGAACAGAATGATGGTGAAAGCAGCACAAGTAGCCCCTCAGATTTATCAGGAAACCAGTCTGCAAGTACACTCACTCCAAGAATTCGCCGAAACAGGAAGCAGAAAAGAAACTTATGGAAAAGAGGCCTACTGTTGCGCAGCACAGCTAAGAAGCGCAAAGTTATCAGTGCTACTGTAACCCAGGCTGAAGCCACTCTGGCTGCAAATGAAAGTTGCCTTGATGAACAAAGCCCTTCACAAGAAGTCAATGCAGAAAATGTCAATCCTGTAACAGCAGAAACCCACAGAAATACTATCAGCAGTTCTTTAGTTTCTGAAGTTCCTTGTTCTTCAAAGATGACTGAAAACATGCACAAAAAGGGGAAGAAACGGTCTACCTCACTAGGAAAGCTTTTATCCGATTCTGAAATCCTGTCAGATATTAAGAACAATAAGCTGTGTGATAGGACCTCCACATCTCAGTCAGCTCCTAGATTAAGACGACAGGCTCTGGCTTCTAGTTCCCCATATGTATTGCGGGATCGTAAAAACTCCAATACATCTCCAAGAACATTACCTTACTTCCGAAACCGCAGGAATCTTCGCTCTAACAAGACTATGAAAGATTTTGATTTTGCATCTTCATGGAAACGCACTCTACAAGAATCTTCATTGAAATCAACTACAACCCAAAAGAAACAAAAATTGCAGGATAGAAACAATAATTCTGGCTTGCATTTATCTTCGGACATGAATGGAACTTGCTTCAGTCTGGTGAATGACAGCCCACCACAGCAAATGAACTTGCTACCTCCTTGCTCCTCTTCTTCGCCTTCATCCTGTTCTGCTGTTGAAGTCAGCCGAGAGAGCAGATCAGCTTCCTGTGCATCACCAGCAGTCTCTAAATGCCTGACAAAGAATGCAATTTACTTTGACAGAGAGAATTCCAAGGCTATTGAGAAAATGGTTGACTGTGACTGTATAAGTTGTTCTGACTTTGTCATCATCTCTTCAGACAATGAAAATGAAATAGAGGAAGAAAAGAATACTTCTGTGTTTATGTCAATATCGTTGAGTGAAATGGACCCTGATGAAAGCAGCAGTTTAACAGTGCTGTCAGTTTCAGTGAGTGAAGGGGAAACCGGCAGTATTTCTACTATCGGCCATTTGCAAGAACAAAAATGTGATGACCCCAACTGTGACTGCGATTCTGCTAATCCTTGGGTTTATCCAACACCACTGCTGTCTGTCAGCAATAATGTCCAGTTCAACTCGACGAATTCAGCCTATGAAATTGATAGCAACTATCAATTGGCTGCCATGAAACAATTTATTGAATCCACGCCTGGATCTGCATCATCACCGTCCAGCAGTTCTATCATAACTCTATCGAGTTCATCCGATTGTGAATGTTGCAAATCCGACGACGATCTGGACACAAATTCTTGCCCAATACAAATGCAAACCATCTAACATTTGTCAAGAATTCCTTTTTAAAAATGCCACAATTTATTTCTATTAATGTTCTTATCTTTATTGCTCTTCTCAGCACCTTGCCATAAACGAATTCAAATTCTTCCTTATTTATTACACTACTTTGCTGTAAGGCCAGACAATCTCTCTCTCCCTCCCCCCAATGTTACTCATCCCAACATGGTACACAAATCCTGCTGGAGATAGAAATTAGCTTTTTTATTTCATTAAAAGACAAGTATTCTGCTTATTCATCCCTTCAATGGGACAGGATGAATAGTTAAGCTAGAGATCTTTTTTTTTTTTTAATCCATGAATGATATTTTATCAATATTTTTTTTTATTTTTTATTTCTACTCATTAATATTAATTGCAGTTTTATTTATAACTTTATCAATTTTATATTATGTATATTTTCTACTTAATGCAGCCTAATTTTGCAAAGTCTGATTTATCATATAGTAAAATTCAGAGAATGCATTTATTGGTATAATAATGAATTAGAATTTTATTTTTAATTTTTTTGTGTGTGTGTTTGTGTCTTAAACAGAATTTTAAATTATAATGATTTATTTATTTTGGATAGGAAATGTCTCAAATTGAGGTTAAAAAAAAAAAAAATTACACATGTCTAATAATTAATCTCTTTTTACCTTATATCTGAGCACTTCCTATTAAAATATATCATTTTCTTTGCCCTTTTTATTACATTTTTTATCATCTTTCAGTTCTAAATTTGTTTGCCATGTCAAAATGAATATTTCTTTTTTTTCTCCGTTTCAAATTGTTTCTTGGTCATTTTAAATGATTGCTAATTCTATACTGTTGATGTGCTATGATATTCAAATTCCTACCAATGTCAATCAAAAATTTCATATAAGAAAAATAGCAGAGATGAGAATGTTAGTCCAAAACATGTGGAGTAGTAACGAAGGTTAATTTCCAAAACATTGTATTTTTTTTACTACTCTATAATCATTCTGAATCATTATAATTAACCATTCTTGTTAAAATCATTTCATTTAACTAAATTTTCTTCTTGAATAGGGTGGTTCAAAAGTCTTGTCACTTCTTGCCTCTCTTCCAAACTGTAGGAGCTTGTCTGCTATCTGAAATGGAAAGTGGGCAGGCAAGACTTTCAGATCACCCTGTGCAAATGAACTATTGGACATTTTAAGCAGTCATTCCATCAATGTCGACACCTTCATTTTTTTTTATCTTCCTATTCGCTTGCTCATATTCTTAACTCTTTCAACCTGTTGCATCATTTCTCTGACCCCATATTGTTTACAGGATTATATTTCTATTCCATTTGATCTCCATCTTACTCACTTCCATTGAAACCTTCCTCATCTCTCTGAAGTATAACATCAAGTTCCCTCCAAGAAAATCTGTTTTCCTTTCTCCATTCAGAATATTTTTTGTAACTGACAATGCTTGCCTACTTCCTTATGGCTAGCTACAAAACAAATATATATATATATATATATATATATATATATATATATATATATATATATATATATACACACACACACACACACACTACTATTTACCCTATATATTAGCTTCAATAAAAAAAAAAAATGTCCATTATTGTAACAAATATGTAATACCTTTTGTGTTCTTAGAGGTTTTGCTACACTTGCTAAAGTTGTAAAAGCAGTTGCAGTAACTTGAAATCCTTACACTTTTTGATAAAAAAAAAAGCAATGTCACAAACAAAAAAAAAAAAGTTTGTATAAAGATTAATTTTATCCTTATAATCTTTGTATTTTCCACAAGAAAAAAAGAATGGGGGAAATTCTGATATAAAAATCGAGTTTACTTCATATAAATGTGTAACATAATTTGCATGTTAAACCCCAACAACGCACACACAAAAAACATTTTAAAAAATTGAATTTCAATAAAATTTCAACATTAATTTATTTATGAATGGGCTTATTTTTGCAAGACAAATATAGTTTTTGTGTTTTTTTTTTTTTTTTTTCTTAGCTCTGCTACTCAGCAACAAATGCATGTGCCACTCAGGACAATTACTAATCTGTTTTGAGTAAAAGAGTTTTAAAAAATGAAATTGCTTTTAAATTTATCAGTTCTGGATACAAAATATTTATATTTAAATCTCTAGAGAAATTGAAACCTGGTAAAAATTTTATTTGAAACTTCCAGAAAATAAATTTCCTCATATTTTACTTGGAACTTCAAAGGGATTTTTTTTTTTTTTTTTTAAATCAATGACATCTTGCTGGTAAGCCTCAATACCAGACTACACCAATACCTGCTCCAGGTCACTCACTTTTCTCCAGCAAAAAACTTTATTCCAATTTATTGGTTAATTTACCCAACTACTTTCACATTGATTCAATCTTTCCATTTACCAGATTTCTTTGGTTGAGATGATAACACCTGTGCCTTACAAATAGTCCCATCTGGAAGAGTATACGGCATAATAGTATTATTCATGGATTGAATATCTGATTTATTTCTCTCAGGATTTGAGTCAAAGGTTTCCTTGTCCTTTTGAGTAATTTGCACTTCAGACTCACACAGGGTTTTCATCAACATTAACTTTTGATTTCCCTCATCTGACTTGACTTTATTAACAGCTTCCAAATCAGATTGATCAGTGGATTCATCCACAACTTCACTACTAATCCAGAGTGTGAGTCTGTCACAGATCCTGATTCATAGGCAAGCTCACTTTCATCATCATCATCAGTCTGGATCAGCATTCAGATGTTTCTTTTGTCTCATTGGTATTATTGAATCCTAGTTTTTTGGGGGTTTTTTCTTCAGACTTTTACTTCATTATTGTTGAGGGAGTGGAAGTACAAAGAGTCTGTAAGGGAGATTTGAGTAGATGTGCAAAACACATACTTTCCACTTCTCCCATTAAGAAAAGATTCCTCCAGGACTGAAGGTGAACTGCAGCCTCAGCCTTCTCCAGTACCTCTGACCAATTCATTTCCAGCAGGAGATCAAGACCGAATATCTTGACCATTCTATCCGTCCAGAGGAAATGCTCAGGAAGAGAAACTCCCTTCCACATGCCCAATGGCAAGCCAACATCGCAATTGATCATTGCCACAACACCACTGTCTCGTACTTCGATCTCTGCCAACTTATCAATCTCTGCTCTGTTTGACACAAGAACCGAAACATCATTAGCACAGACAGAATACCTGGCCAAGGTGGTAGCACCAGGTAAGGAATTTCAGTGTAGGATCTGATTTGCCTTTAAGTTGGAAGCAAATTCAAAAATGGACAGCCTTGACAAATGGAAAAAGACAACATTTGCTTCCACTGGCATAACATAGGACACATACAGAAATCTGATCCATGTACAAAAGTAGGGCCCGAAGCTGGCAGCCAAAAGAACAGTCTCCACAAAACAATGGTCAACACTATCAAATGCCTAAATTTATTAGCACGGCTTCACTGTTGACTTGCTCACTGATCAAGCATATCATGGAAATTGTCCTGCCCTTCACAGCACAGGTCTCAAATCTGTATTTAACATCATCAAAAGCTGAAAGTTACCACCATTTTTATGTAGCAAACCCCGGGTGAAGCGTTGAGGTACAGACCTCCCCCCTCACTTCATCCATTTATTGTAAATCAGTTCAAGCAAAGGGACAAGAACAGGTGACTGCCTCAGGTACAGCTTGTAAGGTAGACCATCTAATCCCAGCCAACCAACTTCAGCGCTTCCCAGATCTCAAACTCTGTAGTCGAGACCCTTGCACCCACCTGCCTCTGAGGTGGGGAAAGCTGGCCAAATAGGCATCAAACTGAGCAGAACCCAGGCTGGACTCCCTAATGAATAGATCCTGAAAGTAGTCATGAAAAGCATCACAATTGCCCACATTTGTAGTCACAGTCCACTTATCCGGCAATGTGACATACATGATATGCCTGTTGGATGCATTTCTAACTTCCTCTGCAGTCATTTCTGTAGTCATATTAATTGCCTCAGAAGACATTCTTTTTAACCTAAGCTAACTACAGGAGATTGATCCTTCTCGGCTACTTCCTCACTATCACAGGATTTAATCACCTAATCAACATTTGCTTCACCTGCCATTTGTGCTGCTAATCTAATTAGATTCAGTCAACAACTGTAATCAGCAGCAAACGACCTAACTTTAGATTTCAATACATCCCACCACAATTCCTACAATTAATAGCACTGGTCCTGGAAATCTTGGTCACCAATTAATGATGCATTCAATTTTCAGTAGCCAGCCATCATAACCTTAGGCTTATCTAAGTTTAGATGAGCCTATGAACCGAGTAAACTGTAGAATGGACATCCTAAGATCCCTAAATCAACTCTCTTAACTAGGACTCAGTTTAGGTAGCTAGAATGCACCACCAAAGCTGAGCTGCCCCTATTAGTCCACACTACCTCCCAGGAGTGCCCGCTACAATATTTTCCACTTGGAAAAATATATTTTGCATAGAAATCAATAATTGAAACATGAAATACATCATGTGGGCAGATATTCCCACTTCAGGGATAAGCTGTACAATCTTCATTAAAAAGTCTTATATCAATGCTGAGCACTATTAGCCCTAATTGCTACAAATGTGATAGATTCAGGTGTCCTACAGGTAAAAACATTTCAATCAAGTACTACTGCATAATTCTTGATATGCAAATTTCAAAATGAAAACAAATTTAGTTTTTCTCTACCAAAAGCTAAGATCAAATCCCAGAAGAAATAGGTATTGCAAAATAGTTACCTAGTCACTCAACTACTTAGGAATTAAGTGATTTGACACAAAACCAATTGAACAAAAGCAGAAAGTTTTTATTAAAAACTCTTATATCCATGCTGAGTGCTATCTTAAAAAGCCAACCAATTTTCGTTTTTTACCAAGAGCTGCTTCTTCTTTCAGAACAGCTGTCAAATTTTTACCTAAAATTTCTCCAACTTTCTTTCCAGTCTGGAAAAAAAAAAAAAAAAAAAATTTAAATTATTTGGTTATTGAGAGATGTATATAGGAATTAACAATCAAATTTAAATTATTCCATCATATGAAATATTTTAATTCACCACTTGGAAATACCTTACAAGTCATTTTATTTTCCTCATCCAAAGTACTTAAAAATGGCAGTAGAAAAAGTTATTTACAAGTAGAAAGATTCTTAAAATAAAAATTAAAAAAAATTAGAATTATGACTATTTTCAAGTCACTGACTAGTAGGTAGCAAATATATTGGTCTTCTAAAATTAGCCACAAGATTCATGCATACATGAACAATACTAAAATCTTGAACCTCATGAGTTGGTCAGTTTGGCAATTTATGTTTCAGTATCAGCTTCTGTGTGTGTGTCCCCCCTCTGATGCTGTGGCTTTCAATTTAGTATTTTTGCTTTCTAAGGAAGCCATTCATTTTCTTGTGATGATAGCATTTACAGTTGATTTCTGATTTCGTAAGTTAGTCCATTCAGCTCGCATATTTCTGGTCCAATCTTAAAAATATTCCTATGGCTGAAAAGAAAATAATCTTTCTAAATTTGTATGTACTTTTATTCATTGAATTATTTTTTTTTTACAGCGGGTTAAAATGGTATTTTGCTTCGAAGAGCTGAAAATGCGAAATATAAAAACAGAAAATGCATCGATATGTGAGAAAATTTACATTGTTATAATTTGCATGAAAAAGCCAGGGGAAGCTAGCTTGCTAGTGTTGATGCATGTAAACAAAATTAGCCTGATTTTTTGTAATATCATATACTCAGATAAATGTGAGTAATTAATTGGGAGAAATTCAGTTTTGTTTGTGAACCTTTGACCAGGGTGTCCTGGACAAAGTTTCACTGAAAGACTAGTTCACAAACAAGAATTGGTCTCCAGAAAGAATAAATAAATTAGATTTATTAATCTCAAGCTTATTGTTTAATAAATATTTTATATCCTTTATAGGAGAGAAAATGTCATTGATCCTATTCTGAAGTGATAGAAATTATTGGAGCCAGATAGTGTACAAAAAATGAGTTACTTTCTGTGCAAGTCAGTTTTGTATTTTCAGTGACAGTACTTAGATTTTTCTACAATTCTGAAACGGAGGTTCCACATATATGTATTATAATCAATTCACCCCAAGTAAGGCACAAGAGGCACAAGGACTGGGAGTGAAAAAGAATGAGAAGACTTTAGAAGGAACTGGAAACCCAATCCTAAACAAGAAACGAGGGATAAAACTTTACTCCGCTTCAAAAGACTGGGGAGCAGTGTGAACCACATGATAGACAAACTTATCTACTCCTATGAGAGGGAGCAAAAATTATGTTATTTATTAGAAATTGAATCTATTTTGCCAAGTTTCTGTTTTCTAGCAACTGAATTTCAAGAACAGGAACTAAAGTGGACAAAGTTCCTGTTAAAAGCTGTATCATACAACAAAATATAGACATCAAAAGAAAAACTATATATGGACCCCCCCCACACACACACACACCTCCCTGAACCAGTCATTCTTGAATCACTTCCAAAAAGAAATAGACAAATCCCCAAATGAGATGATAGTTATTTTAATAGTATTAATATTGAACATAATTTACTTACTTCCATCATGTCAAACACACTTTCTGGGTCCAAACTTCCTGACCCCTCTTTTTTCAAAGCTGTTACTAAACCTGTCTGTGTGATTCCCATGATAACTCTGAGGAAAATAAACAACAACAACAGATAAGCTTTAATACACAACATGCACACAATATATATACACACACACACCTACATACATTCAAAACCCACCATTGCCTGGAAACAAGCTCAGTTTGGTGACCACTTAAGAGGGAAAAAACTGAAAATTATACATGAATTATATTTCTTTGACAAAATACTGCACTATTAGAAATTGATTAGCCTTTGATTTTTATTAATCAATTCCAATGTTTATTTACAATGAAAGTTGTAATTCAAATCCTAATTTTATTAAAATTTTCAAACTATTGCTAGAATTCATTTATCTTGGAAATACAATTATCAACTCTGTCTTATTCAACCTAGATTTGCTTATATTAAAATGAGAGTAAATTGTAAAAGTTTTCACTTTGTTTTTACTCAAAACTCAAAATTTATTGATATCAATTATCAGGTTATTTATACTTGATTAAGCCCGAGATCAAATCATTTACACCAAATGAATTCAGATTTCTCTTCAAACTTGGCATTAAAAAAACCATAAATATCTAAATTGCCAATTTAGATATTTATGGTTAGGGGTCTTTTTAGAAAAAAAAAATAATTCCCCTTCATATATAAGTAAAAATTAATGACAAATTCATTTTATGGTGCAACAAAAAATGCCAGTCTAGATACAGAAGCAAAGCACTAACATTCTTACCAAAACACTTAAATCCTTTTACTACTGAACATTAAAAGGACCAAGCTTTTCTTAAATAATGCTAACTAAAAGTGGGCAAAGAACATACTTACCTAGCAAGACAGCATGCCTCTTCCTTTTGACTAGCATCTACAACATGGAAATAGCCAATCTAAAACAGAAAAGGGGAAAACTTGCTAAAATAAGTTTCTTAAAAAGAATGTTGTGTTGTCATGCATTATAGACAACAAAAACTATTTGATAGATTGAGCTGAAGGAGGGCAACAAGTTTATTGGAACTAAAGTAAATTATTCCTGGAAAAAATTGGCTATTTTCACTAACAAACTGAAATGCCCCTCTTTTCTGACCATAGTATTATGATCCATTTTCAGAATCTCTACATTTCAATTATATTGGAATCATGTTAATTTGTGTCAGGAATCATCAATGTACTTTCAGTGCTACCCACAATTGGTAATGTTATAATTATTTAAGTCTTTAAGATCAATTAAATTTCCCTGTGGTAAAATTTCACAACTTTTGTCTGTTGCATTTGTCAATAATATTTTGGTTGAGTTAGGTCAATATATGGTTTGACCCCCCCCCCATTTATACAAAAGCTTCTTTTTTTTTTAAAGATACCTAATAGGGTTGTGCTTGATCCATGAATAAATGTTTACTAAAAGCAGTTTACATAATTCCAAAATGTTGACCCCCCCTGAACAGTACAGTAAACTTTTTTCTGGTTTTATTTAGACCCCATAATACCAACAGGTAGAAACATTATACTAATCTACCCAATAACCATAAATAAATCTTTCTGGGACATCATATTGACATAGTTGATGAACACTGCATAGTCAGGTCAATATATGAAAAATTACGACTAAATATTACAAGTACTGTGAAACCTTGTCGAATTCTCAGATGTATGGAAGTCATGAGCAGAGTCTCAGCAGTTGTTTTATACTAAATTCACTCTTGGTTGAACTTTGTGTGTGTCAAAGTAATTTTGCCAGTCCCTTTGACTTAACAAGGTTTCACTGTACTATTATTATTAATAGAACAATTTAATCCCATGTTCCTCACTTTCAGAGTAAAACAATGAGTGACAGTGAAGAAGAAGGAAATGACAATGTTTCCACACTCACTGAGAAGAATGCTGGCTCAACCAACGAATCAAGCCAGCAATGTGGTTGTGATGATATACTTGTAAGAGCTGGCCAAAGAGTTCTCAGTGAACTAATGCAAAGGATACCAAAATGGCTTTAAAACATACTTCATACTGAGTCAACATCAGAAATAAAATAAAAAAGAAAAGTCATCAAATTAGCAGTGGGCCTTATGACCCAAACATTTTCTTTTCTGTAGTTGTAAGGTAATCAAGGGTACTCATGGACATGAAAGTTTTAGTGAAGTTCACACTGACACTTTCCCAGAGACGATAAAAAAAAAGGAATAAACGATCAGATGACTGTCCACTGTGAAGAGCTGAATTGAATACTTTGCTAAGGATTTACACACTAATGTATTTATCACCAGCTTTATAGCGTGTACTTTCACAATGGGCAGGACATGCCAGATGAGTTTCAATCAGAATGAAAGCGAGTTGGGCAACCAACAAATGGCCTGTGAAGCAAAGGATGAAGAACAGATTACGGTATCAGAGTTTGTGCACAAAATAAAACAATTTGTAATTGATGAGGACTGTGTATGGATGCTAATACTTAAAGCAAAAGTTGAAAGAACAGTATGGAAATTCTATTCATATCGTAGAAGGGGAAGGCCTTTATGATATTATTACAATAAGAGAACAAACTGGGAAAACTTGATTACAATGTCTTAATGCTGGATGGAAAAGGAACTTTCCACAGGATAGATATGATTGCAGCATCAACACCAGGGCAGAAGACAGCCTATGTCATTCCAAGTTTCCCAATTAAATGTGAATGAAATTGGCATTGTCAACTATCAATTTTCTACCTTTGCACCATCAAGTTTGAAATTCTCCCAGAAATTCACTCTTTGGGAAGTTTCATTTTGCTTTCATCATGACACTCCAAATTGGCAAGGAATTAGTAACATTATTCATAATAATGGACATGAGCATCCAGGAAAATCTTTGATGACTAATTGATATGTATCCCAGGGACCCAACCTGCATTCTGTCCACTCTTATCTACATTTGTAATCTTGCAGTGAGACACAGAATTTCACCCATTGTGAGCTTTGAGCAATCCTTGTTCTACCAGACGTCTGAAATTATTTACAATTCACCAGAAAATGGTGACTTGAAAAACATTATTTTAATATTAGGAAGCTTTCATACCCTGATCAATGTGTTTGGGGCTGTTAGTACACTCATGCAAGGTTTGGAACTAACAGGTATCCTAGAGACAGTTTTGGGGGAGAATGCAGTTAAGTACATGATGGGTGGCAAAGCAGTGCAGAGAGAATTTCAGGGGCCATCTTCTTATGGAAAAGTGCCTAAATGGCATGTTGGTTTCTGAAATGTTCAGGCAGCTATAGCAAATTCTCAGTACCAAAGCACTAACTACTCTTGTTGGAGAAGATACTGATCTTGCTTTTGCAGCTTATGGACCCCAAGCAAAAAACACTGTATTTTCACTCTGACAATAAGTCTAAATACATCAGGGTATTTAACATTAACAGTCTGAAATAATTTCTGGAGCAAGAGTTATGTAAACATTTACTATTCATTCACTCATTTTCTGTTTGTGACATGACTTCAAAAGTTTTTAGAATAGGGAAGAAAACATTGATTCAGAAATTCATGAAAGGGGACAATGAGTTGGAAACGTGTGCTTGCTCTTTCACTCAATCAGGTCAACAATCTGATACAATAGAAAACCTTGGAAAATCCTGTGATTCTCTTGCCTCATTGAGACATATAGTTTTAAAAAAGAAATTTGTGTCTTCAGTGTCCTTTGTATCACTACAGCGGCTACCACCAACAACATCTGCTAAAAAATACCATTCACTACGATCATATTACCAGATCATTATATGGCTAGAAGTTGAGAGAACACTTGAGGCTAGTGGCTGGGAATGGAAATCTGAAAACAATATGTTAAAACCCAGCACCAGAATATCTGTTGAAAATTGTGCATTGTAATTGCTATTCATCTTGCACATGTAGACAGTATAGATTATCCTGTACCTTTGCATGTGGCACCCCAACAATGTTCTACTATTTGTTGATCAAGAGGACATCATTGATAGTACTGATGCTGATGAATTATAATTCATGGGGCTTCACATGTTAGTTCTATGACATTCCATAATAGTGTTAAGCCTTGAGGCGAGGCGAGGGGGGGTACCTTTGATGAAGAAAATTATGATGTAAAGTAGCTTGAAAGTGAAATAATTTCTATTTGAAAGAATGTGTTACAGCCAAAAGTGTGCATTTTAGTGTAGCTGTTCATAAACTATGTCATAATGATGTCACAGAAGGATTTAATTATAGTTATTAGGTAGATTAGTATAATGTTTCTATCTATTGGTAATATGGGGCCTAAATTGAACCAGGAAAAATTTTGCTGTATATTGAAGTTTAGGAGGTCACAATTTTGAGATTACGCATTTTAGCCACTTATTCACAGGTCAAGCAAACCCAATTAGGTATCTAAAACAAAAAAGCTTTTGTATAAATTTTTGAGATTGACCCCTAATTTTTCATATACTGACCTGACTAATTGTGTTGTAAAAGGCTTTTAAAAATACTTTCTAAATTAATAAAGTTATTTCAAGAGTATATAATTGGTAGGCAATTCAACATGGTGTAACGGTTAGCAAGCTTGCCTTGCTAGATCAATTATGACTGAGTATTGAGTTTGATCATCACCAGATGCCCATACTTCCTGCCTTGTGCCACATCTAAGCTATGCTTAGAAAATCACCATTGGAAAGCTTATCTCACTAGATCAATTATGACTGAGTAGCAAGTTCGATTCTCACTGGGTGCTCCATACTTTCGGCCTTGTGCCACATCTAACCTAAGCTTAGTAAATCACTATAATTGGTAGGCATGCAAAAACAAAAAGTTAGTCTACACCAGAAAAACTTTGGGTCAATTCATTAGTGTGTCAATGCTATTGAGCAACTAGAAATTTTTATTGGTAAACTGTGGTATATGCCCAAAAGGATGTCAGAATATAAGGCAACATAGTAGGTTTAAACTTTTTATCACTTTTTCTTCTCTTAGGAAGAAATTCAAGCAAGAATTGGTCAACAGATATAATCTTGATTTTCAGGTAAAAAGGTTAAACACCCGATCATTTTAATGTCATAATATGGAATAGAATAAACAAAATTTTTTTTTTGTAAAAAAAAAAAAAAAAAAAAATTCATTGATTCTGTCATTAGTGTTGAATTATCAGAGATCCTGAACTTTTCAAAATAGATAAATCTTGTTTGATTCATAGTCTGGTGTCATCTTAATAGGAAATCATTATATATGAAATATAAAAAAGTATAAACAGCTGTCTCAAAATGTTTCTACATTAAAAAAAAAAAACAAGGAAATAGGCAGTTCTTATTTCAAATATGAATGGCAGAAGAAGATTTATGTGGATTTCTATTACAAACAAGCAGTAAAATAAAATATCACTGGAGTCCAGTGAGAATTAAAAGCATTATCTCCCAAAATTATTAACTGGAGTATATTAGCCATGGATTAAAGTCCTACTACAGACCAGTTTACTACCAAATTATACATTGAAATAATGTAATTCTTATGATTTCAATGTAAAAAAAAAAAAAAAAACTCACTTTGCTCAAAGTTACCAGACATGGACATGATGATATGTCCAACTGTTTCACATCATAAGGGTCATCTGAAATTTCAAGTTCCATTTGACCTTCATCTCCTTTCAAAACTGATACATTTGGGATTCTGTTAAAGAGAACAAACAAACAAGAGTATAACATTTAAAGACAAGAAAAAATTAATTTCCAAAAAGTGAATTATTGAAGAGTGTTTTAAAATATAAAGAAAGCAAAATAATTTTCAAGATAGATTTAGAATCATGAACAAAATTTCATGATTTTAAATCTATTTATCATCTAATCAAATTATTTCTAATAGAGCACATTTAAGACATCCCTATATTGGCATATATTATTTTCACATTGATTTTTGCCTGATCTCAAATATAATAAGCAAGAATCACACAAGAAATGCCAAAAACTCAATTTTCCTTTGTTTATTATCTACTCAAGGAAATTACAAATGTGGTTCTACAAAAGGATGCCGAGAATACCATGAAATGAACACGTGTAACAAGGAAGTTTTAGGGAAAATAGAAACAAAATTAAAACACATACTTTGAAATTATTGGGATAGATAATGAGAAAAGAAGGTTCAGAAAGGACATTAAAAGGTAAAAGAGAGGAAAACAGAATAACCTACCTAACAAGCTTTTGTAAATGGTTGGCAGAACAGATTAGGAGAGACAACAAAAGACAAACATAACTAAGAGCTACAAAGGACAGGAAGCTGCAGAGAGCCATGATTGAGCCCAATGAGATATGATACATAAAAATAGAATTTCCAAAAAGTAAATTATTAAAGAGTGTTTTAAAACATGAAGCAAAAATAATAATTTTCAAAATATCAGGAAAAAGTTTTCATGATTTTAAATCTATTTATAATCTACAGATAAATATCAAATTATTTCAAATCTCAAATTGAATTATTTTTCGAAAGAATTTCCACCTTTTAACTACAAGAATTTAGACAAAAGTATAAACTTTGTGAGATGTATTAATAGTGTGTGTGATGCATCATGGTAATGATCAATAATAACATGGCCAGTTTAGGTAGGAAACAACAAAAACAATTATGCATAAAGTTTTATAAGGATATGAAAATGAATTCAACAAGTTCGAACACTGGTTGTTTCATCTACTACCTAATAAACATTCCTCTTCTTTAAGGTCATTGCATTACTCTAAGACCATTAAAAGAAAGAATTTTATTTTTATATATAAAAAATTAGAAATTTTATATGTATTTTTTAATTACGAAGAATACAACAATATTGTTTATAATTTTTTTTTCAAGTTGCATATTCTAAATATGGAATAATAAAAGAATAAAAATCTTACTTGGTACTGAATAGTGCAGCTTTAACAGCTATGGATGCTGCATCAAAAAGGTTACCTCCACACTCCAATAACTAAACCAAAGAGAAACAAATGGAAAAACTTTCAGAACTGTCTGTTTTGACAACATATCAGCAATGCAACAAAAGTCCCACACAAAGATACTCACATAGTCTAACATGAAAGCAGAATAAGATTGTGTAATTCTTCTCAATAATTAGACACTAGTGCTATCGGTCTAATAGCGGATCTATTTTTACACAATATAGAACTTATCAAAGATTTTGTAAATGAAAATTAACTATATTTTATAATTTTCAAATTTCCAAGCAACACCCATTTTCTACTGTTAATTTTACTCCATTTATTCATGTATTTCAATAGACATGTATATGTTAATTCAACATGCAAAACATGCACTTATATAACTGTCAAAGTCACCCAGAACTGGTCTACTTTTAGTCAATGTTATTGTTTCTACTTAACTGAATTTTTAAAAATATATTATAAATTTCTAACTCTTCTATTAATACATAAAAGAAGTGTGACTAAATTGTGTCACATCTCAGGGATGTTAAACTGACATCTTAAATTTATACAGGTTTTCATTAGATTTTTAAGTTCAATATAGATTTAAAATGGCAATTTCCATGTTGCATAAATATAATATTTTACAATATTTCCCAAATAAAAATACAATTTAGAACAGTCTTTACATCATTAATGCAACTGTTATCTTTTCACTGTTAAATTCTTTTGATATTTCTGTTAATCTCACTCTAAAGTTCCTAGAAATATATAATTTATATAGCATCATTATATAGAGGCTTCTCAAACACACAGTAATAGAAACTAATTTCATTTCTTCCAGTTATCTTTCATTCAGCAATTGATGTGTTTTGCTGCAAACTGTTTTGTAATCAATTCTAAATAATGTTAATATAAAACAAGTTTGGAAAAGTGAATGTAAACATTCACCCACATCCATCAATTGTTTATAAACTTATGCTTACATTTTAAATTTATTTCCAATAAATTTAAGGGAAAATTCATATAAATTATTAATGCATTAATTAATGAAATGAATTAAATACATTAAAAAAAACGTAATATGTGTTGAAGATCAGCTGTAAAAAACATTATCTTCAGAAAGAAAGGTTTGAACCAATATTATTTTTTTTTTAAATGCCTTCATTAAATATTAGGAACAAGTAAATGATAGTTTGTGCTTGCTTTGAACCAAGCAGGAAAAAAAAAAGAAATCATCTTGAAGATTAAACAAAAGAATTTTCAAGTTATGGGCAACATTTAAATTTGAACCATCATGCATCAGTCTCAGATATTATTTAAAAATTACCATTTTGACAGAAGTGGTGATAAGGAGCTTAAATGTTTTTGAACTCATCTAGTATGGTAAGGTTCACCAAGCAGTATTCTGAAATCTTACTTATTATAAGACGCAGATTGTGTGTGTGTGTGTGTGTGTGTCTACGTTCATATATGGGATCGTATTTCCTACATTTTTCAACAGATTTCACCAAAACTTCACAGGACTACGTAAAATTACCCTGTGGTGGTTCTGACAGTGCCAAGAATTAGAAAAACAATTGTTTTTGCACAAAATCAGTTTGAAAGCATGGTTAAGTGTATTGCACCCAGCCAGAAGTTACTGCCAGCTACACAAACGTCCGAATGCCGTTAAGTTCCGGTGACTCAGCGTTTTTTTTTTCAGAGAGCGATACACAAAAAGTAAACAAATGAAACCTAAACATACACAAGTCCTCTTAACTAAAAATAATAACTGGAAACTACTTTAAATACAATTGGTGTCCAAATGAAACCCATGTGTACAGTCAAAATGCGAAAGTTAATTTTTTTTTTTTGCTCTTCCAGTTACAAGTCCTTTTTTTTTTTTAAAGCTGATCGTTTTGTGTTCATTTTGTAACAGATTTAACGTTTAGTATAGAGTTTAGAAAAAATTTGCGTGAGATAGGCAAGAAGTAAGGCATGTAGCAAGATCAGCACAGCAAAGGGCACTCCTTTAAAGGCAAAGAAGGGCAAAAATTTTTTAAGTCAAGTGATAGCGATTGCTGTATGAGTCGTACGATTTTTGAATCAAGCACAGGCAGCGCCAGGCCATGCTGCTAGTAAGATTAATAATTTTAACATTATGAGAACTGCACCATAGAGTTCCTAATTCACTGACATTTTAAAACTTTCCAATTTGGAAAAAAAAAAAAAAAAAAAAAAAAATAAAATTCACTTACCAAAATATCTACATACAGAATCCAGCACTGAGATCCAGGAATCACAGACAATGATTTTAAATCTAAAGCATTTGGATTATCATAAGCCCGAGATAATATTGTGCTGATCTCAGTTGCAAGAACTTCTCCTCCTCTTCCTTCAAATTCAGGGGTGGCATTTGCAGAACTAAAAATAAAACAGAAGAAAATTTTTAAATTACAAGAGAAATGATACACAAAAAAAAAAAAAAAATCATAATTACTCTGAATGCTTATTCTACCATCACTCACATTTAAATTTTTGTGGGGATGGGTAGGAAATATTTCATGAAGTTGACTGTAGATACATTACACAATTCTAAGTTACTTAGGTTTGGGAAATTATCAAATGACAACCAATCATTTATTTTTTTTAAGTCTGTGTCTATTGCTTCTGTAAGAATTGCAACCACAGCTCCCTTTGTTTTTAAGGAGTCTCAAATTAAAGAAAAAAAAGTAATCATACACTAATATGACTTACATTTATTCTACTAAGAAAATGATTCCAACCTACAATAGAGTGGTTATTATGCTTCAAATTTGAACACATTTGTCTTTAAGTATTTTTTATTTCTTACCAGTCAACAAAAAACTCCAAGCGACCTTGGTTAGGTTTTATAGGTTCTGGAACCCCAAGTTCAGCTTTTACTCCAACAAGTACATCTGTATTGGCCTAAATGAGAAATGAAATACAAAAACAATTTCAACTAAATGAGGTTGAATATTTTGTACTTCTATGTATTCCTGAGAAAAAAAACTTCAGATAAACTATAAATATCAATAAACATTCATTAAAAAAAAAACAAAAAAAAAACTGTTTTTTTAATTAGTGTGTCATTTTCAAGAAAACATACATAACAATGAAACATTTTCAAAACAATCTTATAAAATGTTCTGTGAATCTCAAACACAAAACATTCAGCAAATTTCTAATTGGATACACAATTTCAATGCTGGATGAAAGTTTCATAAATATGGTAACAACAACTGCATATAAAGTGAAATCTGTTCTTTAAAAAAATTACTGGTCTCAACAGGAAAAAAAAAAAAAAAAAAAACTTATGTAACTTTTTTTCATGAACCATAGATACTACAGTGATTCTAATCAAAGCACAGATACTCTTCTGAGCCTGAGAAGTGTCATTTATAAATAATTCCATCATTTTTTTTTTTTTTGGAATACGATAGATAGATAGATAGAATACACCTGAAGATACTTAAAAAGGAACAATCAAAAATATTTTGAATTTAAAATCCGTAAAAGACATTTATATGAAAGGCAACAAATTATGATTTCTAATTTGATCAGGAAAGTTTATAAATAAATTTCAAGATCAAAATTTTACTATTTAATAACTCTGATTTATAATTAGTTTTATCAAAAGGGGGGGGGTCAAATTTTCAAATATATATTGCACTAGCAGTATAACCTGTCTTCAATTAGGTCTTTCATTACTGGGAATTTTTGCCATTCAATTGGAGCAGATTAAGTTTAAGTCTTCCCACCCAAAATTCAATATTAGTAACAAAAATTGGGAGCAACTGAAGCACATCCCCAAAGGCGGGGGGGTGCTCTGAATGGGGCATTTTTGTGTTCTCAATCTTGTTTCAGCTTCATGCGTAGCAGCAGTTGAAGAGGCGCTTTTCCTCAGCGGCTGAACCCTTTGATTATCATTTTCAGCCTCACACGCAGAAGCGTTCAGGTATGCTCTTCTGGAAAGCCAATGGCTACATTGATCTTCGAACTCAGTGGCTCTGACTGAAACATTCCGAGAAGCATTTTGAGGCAGGCGAACTGAATGTTCTAAAGACAATTTGTTATCTCATACACATAGCAGATCTGGTGGCAGCAGTTCTGTGACCTAGGCAAGTTCTTTTTTTTTTTTTAGAGGCATGTCTTAGGCAAGTATGAAATGTCAAATGGAATGCATAGGCAAATACAAAAAGAGAATGCTGTAAAGCTACAAGGATCACTAAGCTCAAATAACTTTAGGAAAGGTTGGGAAAAATAAATGTTGAGTAGCAATGAGCTTGGGACTGCGTAGACAATCAGTATGACATGGCAACATTTGATTGGAAGTGTAAAAGGGCTTCATGCAGCCAATGGGCAACTTGAACAGGTGTTGTGTTCTGCAGGTCATGTGTATGCATGTGCACAGCACATGACACATCACATGTTGCAGGGCTACATGTACATGCATTGCTACACATGCTAATTATCAAGGTTGGGCAACGTGAAGGTGTGAATCATGCCCACACAGCATGAGCTAGGATTGGAAGGTTATGTCTGAAAAAGTAAATTAAATTTTCCCTTTGACTTTTGCACAAAGTTTAAAAAAAATCATTTTTTTTCGATTTTTCACCTTCAAGGTTGTAATTTTTTTCAGCCAATTTGGTCTCAAACCCAAGACTGAAGAATTATCTATCAAACAAAAAAAAAATTTCATCGAAATCGGATGAAAATTGTGGAAATGCATAAACAACTTCTGATCACACACACATACATTTTGAGAATTATAGATAGAGATAATATTATTGTAATAATTTAAACTATTTATTTTTATTAAAGTTTTTATGAAATATATATATCCAAGAACAGATAGTAAATAGTAGAACATTGCAGAGAGTTATAATAGACAGGAAGTAGTGGAGAGCCATTGGCACCAACAATTTGGACTCAAAACTGGCACTGAAGAATTATCTATCAAACAAAAAAATTTCATCAAAATTAGATGAAAACTGTGGAAACGTATAAACAACATCCAATCACAAACACACATTTTGAGAATTATAGATATAGATTATATATATTATATGTGACCCTTCTCTTGGAGGTTTGTTTTATCAAGAACAAAGCTTAACAAGCAACATACTTATATTATTCCCACAAACAGTTTATGGAGCCAATAAATTACACATTTTTTTTTTAAATTTTTTACTCCAAAAATTGGGTACAATCTTAATTCTACTTAACCTATACAGAATTTTTTACTAACAATTTATCTTAAATCCTGTTCTTTCCAAAGGTATAGCTCATAAATTAAAATTTAATAATTGATAAAAATCCAATCATGTCAGCTTTTTCTTAAGGTAATAGCACCTGCCAGTTAAATATTTTAAAGTTTTCTTGATGTTGCAACACCAAGTCATATATACACAATTTCTTTTTATTTACCTAATTACAAAATGAAAGTTTTCTCAAGCTATAATCTTGCAGAGTAGAATTCTCTTTAAAACATTTTACAAGTATATCTTATTAGTATTTGGTTAAATTGATTCTATTTGATCACTAAAATGGGATTTGAAACCTTTCATAAAAATCAGCACAATTATTTTAAAATTTTGAAGCACCAAACACATGAATTATGGATCAACAGCCATCATTTTCCCTCACCAGCATTTTACTTACCTAGTACTGAATTTCTGATCATTTTTAAGGAGAAAAAAATAGCTAATGTAGCCCAGTTTGTATACCAAACATACTATAATCTTTTAGCTTATTTCCGTTCACTTATTTTTTGGATATTTTTATAAGTATTTTTGCCTTGTTTACCTGTTAAATATTCTAAAGAAATCTGTCTAAAAACAATCACTTAAAATAATTTGCTTTTGTGATTCATGCTTTATTATACATTTCAAAGATGTTATCAAAAATTAGATGATAGGCTTTTGCATTTCATTTCACTAACTGAAAATATCCAAATACATAGTGTAAAATTAATAAATTAGATTTAAAAATTGATTATCTATTTTCAAATTCAAATTTTTACTAAAGAGGTAGTAATAATGCATTTTTTTACAATGGACAACAGCAACCAAAAATATATGAACACCAGATAAATTATAATAGACATACCAAACGTAATCTGGCAGAACCACTGGTATTGGAGACTACATCAGTCTCAATTTCCATGTGCCGATAATCATCACAGCCTCGCCCATCTTCTCGGAGATTGTCCTAGAAAAATAAATTCCATAATTTGTTAGACATTTTCTCCAAAATGAAAATTAATAAGGAGTTATCAACCCATGTAAGAAACTGTCATTGTCAATTTGCAAAAGATAACAATAAATTTACTTGATGGTTGATTTAAAGATCAGAAAATAGAATTTAATTTGAATAAAAACACAAAATTCATTCACTTACCTTAACTTGAAATAGAATAAGAAAATTTAATGTTTAATTTTCTTTTTTATTCAAATTAGAATAGCTCTCTTATTGATTTGAAAAGATTTACTTCAGATTTATTGCAGATAAGGAATTTGAAAAAAAAAAAAAAAAAAAAAGGACAAAAAAATTACAATTTTTTATATTTTCTAAATCACCAGATATTTTACAAATTTTCAAGTAAAATAATGTCAAATGATTATGACTTTAACAAGGCATTAGTATTGTTCAAACAATAAAATCTTTGTTGGTGGCGTTACAACATTTTAGTTGAACCTTTCTGTATTTCTTAGTAATAAGAGTGGTGTGAAGTTATTTTTTTTATTTAAATCTTTGTGTAATTAGTAAGAAGAATGGAGAAAATTCTCATATGAAAATTATCTATGTACACCTCATAGAACTGAAGAAATTTATGAAATGTGATATAAAAAGTTGTTTATCTGTAAACAAAAAATAATCTTATTTGCATTAGAATATTTTTAAATGAAAGCATTTCAATTTTAGAAATCTACAAAAGAATCAACTAATTGTTGAATTTTAATAAAGTTTTCGATACTTATTTAATAAAAAGATAACCATTTTAAAGAAAAATCAGGTTTTTCATGCTATATAATATTCTAGATACCTCCAAAGATTTGCTAAAAAATGAGTACATATGATGAAAAAATTCCCCAAAATTAATAAAAACAAAATTTTATTGTCAAAATATGTATGTTATTATTAAGAAAAAGCCCAAAGGATTTTTTAATTGTTAAATTATATTTTTTAACCCATTTTAGAACCTTAAAAATTTTGTTTGTAGTGTAAGCAGGTGATCATAAATTAGTCTGGGAAATTTTGGTGTCTTTTTATGGTGAGAAACACATCGATTTGGAAATCTTTGCAAAAGTCATATAAATGTTGGATTTTAATGAAACTTTAAAGACTTATTCACAAATGAAATTATTTTTTAAATATTTCTTTTTTAGAAAATCTTGATAAAATTTATTTTTTTTTTTTTTTAAATCTGTTATCACTTACTTAATTTTATGAAATTTTGAGAAATTCATTTTTGTATGGCTCAGTGTTTATATTAATTATAAAAACAAGTCATTGGAGAATTTAAATCAATTTTTTTGAAATATAAAACAGGACACCCTAGTTATGGAAAATCTGCAATAAAAATTTTAAAAATAAAACTAAAGCATTAATTAGAAAAGCTTTTATGAATAAGATATATTATGGACACTATCGTCTTAAGAAAACAATTTTTTTGATGAATAATGAATTTTTACATGAATTGTTTTCATTTTTTAAAAATTTTAATTAGAATAATTTATAGTTCTAAATCTGAAATTTCTGCATTACTTTGTGCTGCATAGGTGATATTGTTATTAAGTAAAAACTACATTTACTAATCACAAATAGAAAAATTCAGTACAATTCATCAAACTTCAAACACCAATATTTTAAAAAGAATTTTGAAATTTCTTTTTGTGAGTAAACATGCTGATTTTTGTAAATACAGATGTACCATAAACAACATTGTCAGAATGTAAGAACGGTAACTATTATTTAAATTTAAAATTTATTGGTAATTTTTTTATATTTCGACAAATGTCTTTGTCACCCAAAGTACCTAAAGTTCAATAAAATATTACTTTGAATATTTTCCTAAATGATTACTGGGTAGTTAAAAATTTATATACAAAAGGTGCTCACGCTATTCATCAAGTAATTTTTACAGTCTAGTAGTTATTTATGCACCACATAGAAAAGATTTCCTTGTCAGCTCAACACCTCATAAAAACATCCACCAGTGCTAAAAATACTTTTTTTGCAATATTTTAAACTAAAAGTAAGTAATATTTGTTTTATGTCAGAATTAAATCTGCTAAATATCACTCAAATAAAATTTAAGAAAATTATATTTTGGGAAAAAAAAAAAAAAAAATTAATAAAGAGAATCACATTATTGTGATGTGCTGATTTTTATTTTAGCGATATCAAAATTAAAAAAAAAATAATAATTCCAATCAATTTAAATTCGGTTTGAAAATTATTTTGCTTATTGGAAAAAAAACTAAAATAAAAGTTTCAAGAAAAATTTTTCATTTTTAATTTCTTTGGAGATACGTACTAATTTGATTTTGCTTACAATTAATGAACTATTTTTTAATCCGAATTTTCTTTAATTAAAATATCATTTTTAAATTTTAGTGGGTACGTTGATTTTTGTATTTTAAACTGCGAAATTAAGTATCAATCGAGAAGTCGTACTAAAAAAATGTGCCCTTTAATAGGCAAAACATTTTTCTTTTTTTTAAAGTTAAAAGACTTTTCGATGTACACGGATTTCAATGTAAAAAAAAAAAAAAAAACCCAGATGTCAACACAAACACGTGTGTGTGCCAATTTAAAAATAACTCTTAAGTTTAAAATTTAAATGTAACAGTTGTGTTGTGTCTACCTTTGAGTTTTACACATAATGATAGCTTTTGAAAAAAATTACTTTTTATTTTTTAAAAAACAAAGTATCACAGGTTTCATACAGATTCCTTGCTCTGGAATTTAAAAAATAGCAAAAAAACAAAAAAAAACAAATAAATCAAATAAAATAATTAAATAAATAAAAACTTCTGCATTCCTCCTCTACCATATTTACTTTCCGCAGATAAAAATTTGCATTATGGCATTATTAACGTCCTAAAATTATTGTTTTATTTAAATTGAAGAAGAAAAAAAAGTCAATATAGAATGTTTTCAATTTAATAACAAATTCAAGAATCATTAATATTGAACAGGATCATAAATCTGTGGCAATTTGATGCAAAAATAACCACATAGCTTCTATATGATTTCTGGTTGAAGCATCAGTGTTTGAGGGGGAAATGTCAATTGACAATAAGTGATTTTTTGAACATTCAATTTCAAAGTCAATAAGTTTGGCACATGTCCATTGTAAATCGAATACATAAACTTAGAAAGCTATTTCCCTCGCTTCCATTTTAAAAGTTTCATTTTCTTGAAAATAAACATGTCCCTAAAGAAATAAGGGTTATCTTCATCAACAGAAGAAACTACAGTGGAAACACATTTCCGTAGAAAAATATTTTTTTCTGACAACCGAAAAATAAAGAAAGAAAGATAACACAAAACTTTAAAACTATTTTTGTGTGTGACAAGTTGGCTAATACCTTTACATATAGTCAATAAAAAAAAACATAAAATAATATGGATCTTGAAATTTGCAAAACGAAAAGGAATTACAAACCTGAATTCCATGAAGAATAAAAGTTTTTTCGGCATCACTTAACAACACATCCGCCAT